ACTGTGATGTCTTAATTATTGTTTAGAGAGCAAGCGCTTGTGAAAAATCTGCTGTCTCTGTCCTGGTTATGATGCCTGTTTAACATTTCCTGAGACTTGATCAGTCGTGGGAAGGGTGAATGGGGCCCAACTTCACTTGCTGGCTCTGAGCTCCTAATTGGAAATGCATGTGCTGAAAGTTGTATTTAAATAACAGGAGAAAAAAATAATCCCACAGCACCAGTTGACTTTGAGAAAGTTCCTGACCAGCTCATATTTTGCAGCAGAATGCTCCAAACTGGTTTTGATGTCTCATCGAAGGCTGTGACTTATTTCTCTGGGTGAAAATGTTCCATGACCTAATGTTTGGCTTTTGCCGCTCATTTTGTTAAATAAATAAAGAATGGCAACTTGAAGAAATACCTGCGTCTGGTACCACTTAGAGGAAAAGAGAGGACAGTTAAGGAGAGAGTGGGGCTTTTGTGCTGACGCTCTGCGACTCGGCGTTCAGGAGGATGTGCTTATGCTCGCCAAAAAGGAGCATTTATAATTTTTCTGTCACTTTCTGTTTTTTCTTTTTCTCCCAGACTTAATGATCAGCATTTAGGACAAAACGCTCTTTGTCTGCAACGAAACCCGAGGGGGGTGCTTTTGAGACATTTGATACTACTTGAGTTTCATTTTTTTTTGATTGAATTAACCGAGTTTGTGCATGCATAGATTTCAGCACAGCTGTGGTGAAATGAGGACGCTAATGACCGATTAAAACCCGAACCCTGGTGGGCCTTTGAGCTCAAAGCCACAGAAATCAAGTGTTTGTCTGTTGGTAAAGCTTAACCCACTTGTTTGTCTTAAGACAGGTTAATTGCAAACCCACGGTTGGCATCCACTCTGAGCTGTTTTATGGCACCAAGGTCTTGTTGTTTCTTCCCCGTTACCAAGCAGGGAAAGGTCACAGTCTGTTAAGCTCCTCCTGAGAGACCCGTGAAACCAAATGGATGTTTTTTCTTAATTTTTCCGTTTTTATTTTCCTTCCTAGCTCCACTCACTCTAAACATTCCAGGTGTGCAAATATGAAAGAAGGGGGCTGCCACAGTTTTGTTTTTTTTCTTGGTGGGGCAGCAAAGAACGCCTCATTCGCTTTGATGAGCGATGTGTTCATGCGTGGGCTTCAATGTCACCCGCCATGAGGCAGCTGTGAAGTCGCAGCTCATGTCTGTGGTGCCATTTACTCAGTGATGAAGTGCAGAGATCGCAGTCGGTTCCACATCCACCTCCCTCCCCCTTTTTACACACTTGTACGCACGCTGTCGGAGCATGTGTTCCTCCCACCTCAGCTGTATTGTGACTGCACGCCACCGCTAATACCAGTATTCATTAAATCTCAAGCTCCACGATCACACCGATAAAGGTTGACTGAGCGATTATGTAAGGTTTTGTCATCAGAAGGCATTAAGATCCAGTTGCCCTTCCCCCCCCCCCACTGCATCCTCAAATGTTTTCTTGGTACAGAAATAATTAGTTTCATTTGATTTCCCTGTTAGATGCAAGGATATTTTTGTTGCCCCAGCAAGAATTGGCGCCGTATCACCGTAAAGGTGACATATCAACATCCCTGTTGAAGTTAATTTGCCATCAAATTTGCGATTCGAGCTGCCAGAGGGAAGACGTGGGGAGTGGATTGTAACTCATAAGTATGCATTGGTAAAGAGCGTTGATTAACATTGAGGGCTCGTGAGACAGGCGCACTAAATGTGTATCATCTAGCCTCAGAGCCTGGCGCGGGGATTGAATATGATATCTTGCATAATGTGTCCTTGGTTCCAGACTCGGGAAGAAAGCCTTGCACCATTGGTTCCCTTTGCCTTTTGCCTCGTCTCTCGTGCAGCTGTCCAGGCTCCAGGCAAGCGCTGAGTGAAATCTGACAGGACTTGTGAAATAGACGGGAGTCTACATAACTGGTGGCATTCTTATGTCACACTGTAGAAAAGATGTTTTTCGCAGGGCATTAAGTACGCTGTGGACGTCACGTCACTGTACTCACAAGCAGCAAATGGTGCAACAAGAGATCTGGGAACCGTTCAGACTGTAAACAGTGGTTCATTAAACCAACCTTTGTTAGTCATCTATTGACACGGGTCAAGGGACTGGTGAATGAAAGAATGATTGTGCATTTTTGCACAAGCGCTCCATGTTTTCATCAATCTACTGAGTGATGCCCCTCTCTCATATTTCCCCACAGAATGCCTGTGGCAGTAGTATTTATTTGGCACATTCTCAGCATGCTCCCACTCTTGCGGTTGAAGTGTTGCATAGCAACTGAGAAAAACAGCTTTAAATATTTTCGTTAAAAAGGTTTTAAGAAAATAAAGAACAGCCTGCAATTACTGTTCATTTCTCCCGAGTTCATAAGTTTAAGGAGCTGCAGAAGTGCGCCAAGTAATAAATGAAAAACCAAATTAGGCTTCGCGTAGGCCTGGAGAAAATTTAAATTGTGTAGAGTATGTCGTCCCGCTCCTGCCAATTGGTTTCATCTATTTCTCTTTTGTTTATTAAATAAATGCTGTCAGATGCCCGCACCTTCACTAATTCATAACTGTTTTGAAACAAAGCTAGCAGGAGTTTTAAGAGTTCGGCTCAGTTTTCCAGCCAGTGGAGTCTGTCTTTGACAGGATGGAAAAATGTGTAGGTGAGTGCAAATTTGAAGTGATGTGCTTCAGGAAAACGAATAGGGATGGAGCGATGGGGATGGGGGAGCATGTGGAGAGAGAGAAGGCTGGATGACGCACAGCAGGTGACAGACAGACACTAATAGTAATGGCTCTTATCAGTGCTTCGCTCGCGCTCTCTTTTCACATGGGCTCTGACATCCTCCTCCTACTCCACCCCCTCCATCTAGCGGGGGGTGTTGGGAGCTCGCTGGGTTGCGCAGCCCGCTCAGACGGAAAGAGCCTGCCAAACACCGGTCCCCTCACATATAAATTGCATCATCAACATTGCCTAGATTATTCCAAGCTCTCCCACTGGGTTTATGGCAGCAGCGGCTCAACTTTAACTGTTTGACTCACTGAAGACATTCAGGTTTCCTGAGTGAGCTGTGCTTGGATCTGCTGTGAAACACACCAGTTCTATTCTGTCTTAAGTTTTTAAACTAAATCCTGGGGAGGTGTGTCTGTGTTTTCACTCGCGGAGGGTTATTATAAGGACGAATCTGCTTTATTTTATGTCTTGAGTTGTCAAATGTTAAGTTATGACATGTTTTGCACATAAAGGGAAACAGGTTCTAGGATTTATTGGAAAAAATAAGAGCTTAGTGATGGAATTCATTTGGCTGAGTGTTTCTAGGTATCTTTGTTTACTCGGATAGAATCAGTTTGTTCAAAACATATTTTAAAATAATGAAATTGCCTCGTAATTTATTTTAAAATAAATAAATTTTGAGCTAACAAATTAATTTACTTTGAAAAGTTTACATATTCCCAAATCAGTGAATAAATTAGGATATAGTAAAGAAAGTAAGTACATTTTATTTATCACAGACATAGAACCACAAAGTGCTTCACATAGATCAAAACAAAGTCAAAGTCATAAAATCACAATGATCTCAAAAGAGAAATAGATTAAATCTGAAAAACAAAGTCAAAATTATGAAATATCATAAAACAGATTAAAAATTAATTACAAATTTGAGTTAAAAATAAGAAAACAAAAGATTTAGGTAAAAGCAGCTTTAAATAAAAGGGTCTTTAGCTGTTTTTTTAAGTGTCCAGACTGTCAGTGCTGCGTAAGGATAAAGGAAGATCATTCCAAAGTTGGGGTGCAACAGTCTGGAAGGAGCGATCACCTCAACTTTTATATCTGGTCTTTGGAACTTCTAGAAAGTTCTGGTGTGTGGACCTGAGGGCTCGGGTTGGAGCATAAGGCTGTAACGGTTCAGTAATATAGGGAGGAGCTTGACCATGTAGAGCATTGAAAGTTATAATCAGGATTCTAAAATGAACTCTAAAGTTAACGGGTAACCAGTGCAGAGACATTAGAATAGGAGCGATGTGAGCTCTTCTGCCGTTGCAGTTCTGGACCAAATGAAGGAGGTCACGGGCTTTTTTGGTAAGACATGTGAAGAGCGTGTTAGAGTAATCTAGATGGGAGGAGATAAAGGCATGATAACCATTTCAAGTTAATGTTTTGACACCAACCTTCGCAGTTTGGACATATTTCTTAAGTGATAAAAACTGTTTCGGGCCAATGTTTTTGAGTGGCCATCAAGAGACATTGATTGATCAAAAACAACACCCAAATTCCTCAAGTTTATCTTGATGGCAGAAGATAAAGTACCAAGTGTTTGACTAATTAGGGTTCAGAGTCTAACTGAAGGAAGTTTTCTTCTAGCTAATATATATCTGGTAACCACATACTGTTTATCTCATTTACATACATGACACAAAAGTTAATTACTTTTCCTATTGTTATAGATAGCAACCAACTGGTAAACAATTATGTAAATTTTAACTGGATAGTCCTGAGAATATTAGCTAATTTCATAATTCAGGTATATTAACATTTAGCCTCTATCTGTACAGATGGCATCATTGTATTAAACTAGTGTCATTTATATGGAAAAAATATTTAAAAGAGAATAGATTGTGACTCACTTAGCTTTTCATAAGTCCAACTTTCACTTTCTTGCTCATTACCGTGAACCATCAGGGCCATAAAACTTTTTCACCTGCTGATTTAAATGCAGAAGTCAGGTCTTTTGACTCTTGAACTGCCCATTCAGTGCTGGGTTTATATATATATATATATATATATATATATATATATATATATATATATATATATATATATATATATATTCGCTTTTTC